AAGTGAATCCTATTAATATAAAATATTAAAACTGATCCACAAAAGAGAGCTCAGTATCTCAATGAGCGAAATGGCCATAAAATGGGGTCCAGTTTAGTTTCATTCCTATGTAATTCATATATATATATATATATATATATATATATGCAGATAAGTATATATATACATTATATAAAGATGTATGTGTGTTTATCTACCAATCGAAATCTTTCAAGTATAGATTACTTCTCTTGATTCTATCTTTCGTTCCTTTTTTTCTTCTCTTTCCTATTACTCCTTAGATCATGCATGCAGAAAGATATGAATGCATTGGCAAACCTCTGCCATCTTGGCTTCCGTTCTTTATTTTTCATCTTTGGATGTTTTGTTCCATCATTATCTTCAACTCCAGTCACTATGGAACTTATCTCTTTTCCCTTAATTTTGTCCGCTCACTCTCTAAACAGACCCCCTTGCCTATGGCTTCTGCTCAAAGAAAAGGAAAGGAAAAAAAAAATAAGGTTGAACTGCACAGAAGTGGATTAACCTCCGTGCACTTGTATTCTAGGTTATTGGAAACAAATAATGGAGACAGAATCGAAAGTGAGAAAGAAAGAGAGATGGGACCGAGTTGTGATTGAATTGCATACAAGATTGTCTTCCCCGATGTCTGTTGGTAATGACTTTCCGTAATGAAAAAGAAACAAGAATTTAACAAAACAAGTAGACAAAAAATGAAAAAAAAAACGAGAAAGTTGAAAAATAAAATACAAATGAAGGTTAACATCAAACAAATACCCAATAACAACTAGAAATAAAAAAATTCAAATGTGAAAGAATAAAATTCATATGTTACCAAGGAACAAAACATTGATGCAAATTGCTGATATTTAATAAAGAGGATAATAAAAAATGAATAAAGACAAATTTTCTTTTTTCATTCATCTTTTGGAATGAAAGAAGGGAAAGTAATGAAGAAAATCAGGAGAATGAAAAGAAGTGAAAACCAAATCTCTACAATAAATGAATATTATAAAATCACTACAAAATTAGACATTAAAACTAGCTATGAGAAGGAGTAATGGATAGTGGCTCAGATTGAGCAATCAGAAAGCCGAGTTCAAATTCCAGTCGAATCCATTACATTCACTTATGTGCTAATATCCTTGGGAAAGGTATCAATCCACTTCTTTTCCCTCCAGCTATGGGTAAATATTAGAACAGACTGGGTTCTATAGCTTTGGATGGCAACTAGTCTACTGCAGCTAGAAATGGCAACCTATTGCGGGAAAAAAAATCTGCCTTGTCAGTTATATATCAAAAGATACATGATAACCTAAGTGTGTATTACACATAGCACTAACTGATGAGAATGTGCTTGTTTATGTGTGTGTGTATGTGTGTGTGAGAAACAAGGATGTGTGATACCAGTGTGTGTATATTCATGTGTGCAAGAGTTCAAATGTCAACAGAGGCCGAAGGAAACAAGCATGCTCTTACAGCAACATTATTTATTTATGTTCGACTACATTCAGAAGCAAGAGGAAAAAAAGAGAAAGTGTGAGAGAATATGCTTGCTTTTTTATAGTCTTAGAGAGTGCCTCCTAACGGACGTTTTTGGCAAAGCCAAGTGGAGGAACCCACCCTATCTTTCCTAAACTCAGTTCTACCATCGATTTACACAAGTTCGCTAGGTAGTTTATGCACTGTTTTCCTCTACCCTTCTTAAATTCCATCACATTATGTTGAAACACCAGCTCCCATACAATCACTGAAGTTAAGCAATGCCAAACCTGGTCATTACCTAGATGGGTGACTACTTAGGAATACAAGGTGCTGTAAGTTTGGATATGCAGGTGGTGTAATGGATAATTACTTTAGATTGACTTGTTTTTTACAGCTTATCACCCCTTTGTAGGTTATTTAAAGCTAAAACATATTTTGACTTGAAAGAATAATTCTTTTTTTTTAGTATCTGTCTATATTTCTGCAACGAGGTATTATGTACATTATTTATGTTATTCGGACTATTGTCCTCATCTTTGTCACCATATTTATTACAATGTTTCAGCTGTTGTACGCTCAGGTCTTCTTCAGGTGGTTGGAATATTGAACTGAACCCTTTATTTTGTTCACTGTTCTAGTTCCATGTGCCATGTTTTAATCAATGTCAGTTATCAGTTATCTCCTGTTAATTCCCCTCTCCAAGTTCTCCACTGCCTTAACTGGGTATTGAACTCAGACTCTTTGGGTCCTGTCACTGGATCTAATTAATGCCTTTATTCACTGTGCTATGTTTTTTTTTTTTTGTGAGTATAAATTGCATTAACAATTTTTTGCAAATAAAAAGGATTTTTCCAGATACAAGTTCTAATATTTAACCCATAGCTGGGAGGACGTGATGGATTCATGCCTTTTCTGAAGTTATCTGTGTGCAAGGGAATGCAATAAAGCCAACTAGGATTTGAACGCAGTGTCCAGTTTACTATTCCATATTCCATATGGCTATCCACACATCCACTCTTTTGTTGTGCCTTCTATGAATAAGCATCAGTTAGCTTCAGTTTCATGCCTGAAATGTAAGCAAAGTAACTTTTAAATACTTTATAGCAATCCCCACCAAGCAAGGCAGAAATGTCACTAGTATGCAGAAAGTAACAGGAGGTGAAAGGGAGAGAAAAATTGGGTTATAGGTGGGGGACTAACGAAAGGATAGAATATTAATGGGGTTCAAGAAGACAGAAAATGGCAATTTACGTTTCATTTAAATTCTTGAAGACTGTAGTTCTCAGTGAAGCAAGTAAATAGAAGAGAGTTCCACAGGTGGGAAGTGCGAGAAAAGAAACCGTTGGAGTAGAATTGGCTGTTACATTTAACTATTTCATCAGTAAATGGGTGGGACCTAGATGCCAATCTAGTTTAAATTTACATAGTTGGAGCTCCAGGGAAAAAAGCTCATTAGGGCAGTTTCCATGAAAGTATTTGTAGAAAAGACAGAGGGAGGCGAGGTCATGTTGGTGAGAAATTGACTGAAGTCGCGATGCCAAGTCAGGATCAATTCTTTCTTTGGATTTTGTCAGGAATCTCAAGACGAATAGCAGGAGCAGCAGATCAGATATGGCAACAGTACTGGTAGCAGACATGGAAAAGAAATTATGAAACCTCCTACAAAAGGTAGTGAAGGAAAGTGAGAAGAACTTTAAATATCTGGGAAGTGTTTTGACAGAGGACGTTAATTGTGACACTGAGATCCGAAGACGGATTGGAATGGCCAAGGACGCATTCCAAAAACTGGGCAGAGTACTGCAAGACAGGAGGATTTCTTTGGTAACAAAGGAAAGTACGTGACATCTGACCTTCTTTGCAGCAGCGAATGTCGGACGATTTCCTCAAAGACGAAGAAGAGACTCGAGGCGAGAGAAGCGGTTCTACAGAAGGATGCTGAGGATATCATGGACTGAGCATGAGAACAATAATGAGGTCTTAAAGAGGTTGCAAACAAGGAGGAGGTTTATACTTAACATCAGGAAGAGGCAGCTGAAGTTTCTGGGACACGTAATGAGAAAGGAGGGCCTGGAGAATCTGATACTCACAGGTCGAGTAGAAGGAAAAAGAGACAAGAGAAAGCAATGCATGACATACCTGGCGGGTTTAAGCAATTAGATGACAGAACATAATCTGGGGGAGGTGGCAGAGGGACAAAACTTATTGAGAGCTACAAGGGATAGGTGGAGGTGGAGAGCCATGATTGCCTACGTTATGAAAGGACACGACACATAAAAAGAAAGAAAGATTCAATGCACGTACAAATGATAGAATTGTAAATGTACAAGATGGACTCTGACGAGAAAAACCTTTTGGCATGATACAATGACACAACTTTCCTTGCAGTAGTCATATCATTTTAACTTCTAAAACAATCAATACCAACCTGCCTTGATTGAGGAGTCCGGATCTAGGATTTGTTTCACAGATGCAAATATGAGGATACAGGTTTCAGTTCTGTTGATAGGCACAATTTTCATTAATCAAACTTCTCTTTTCTGGACTTAACATGTATAGAAATTGTCTAAGTATGTGTCAATTCCAAGAACTTTTAGTTAATCTATTAGTCATATTTAAGGAAATTGTGTATCAGTGCTAAAATGGTATGACAGTATAAAATTTATTGAAAAGGAGACATATTCTTAATTTCCAAATATGGCCAGCAAATTTTAACCATGTTTATAATTCATGCCATTAAGATTTGATATATTATATTTATAATAAGAGCTTCCATTATTTTTAAATAGATTTTAGGTGTATATCACAGGTGTGTCCTCTATAAATATATTGCATATCAAGGTTGGTACAATTCCAGTGTGCTTTAAATTTAGAATGAATAAAACTAGATAAAAAAAGGACAAATGAATGAAAGAATGAATGAAGGAATGAATGAAGAAGTGACCTTGGAATATATAAAGAAAATGAAGACTGAATAAAAGTAGAGAGAAATGAATAAAGTGACCCTGGTCTAAATAAAGAAAAATTACAAGAAGTTTTGCAATTATAAACATAAAATCTACGAATAATGAGAAATAAATTAGTTCGAAAATAAAAAAAAAATGTTGAACGAAATTAAAAAAAGAAAAGTGGTGAAAGCAAGGGAGAGAATTATATTTTGAGCGACGGCTGACGTAAACCATTGCACAGAACGAAGGACGAAAGGTATAGAATATAAATGATAACGAAATTAAATTTCTCTGAGTAACCTCTAACAAATCTCAATAATGGACGAGCGGGAGATAGCAGATGCTGTAGCTGAATGATGGACTCCTTCCTATCTCATTTATTTTTCTATTTTCATTGTCCATTTCAGCGTTTCTTATTGAAAGCATTTGTTGTTTGGAACAATTGCATTTGCTATAAATACTGTAGTTTGTATGTTCCGAGGAGTGTCTAGATGGGTGGGGGTGGGTAGGTATGCCTGTTGGATTGCATGTAGAGATATAAACAAAAAAACGGTGGAAAAAGTGGTGGAGATGGAGAGTGTCGTGTTTAAAAGAGGTTGGTGAAAAATAGACGATGGGAGAAACGCTTAGCAAAGGAAACTAACAAGATTTCCTGAACAGCGACACATGTGGAAGGAACGAAGCAGGCACAGCCATTTGAGATAGATGGAGTTAGAAAAATAGATATTTTTACAAATACTTGGAATTATCCGCCCCCCACACACACACATACACACATACATATAATCCAACATCACTCTAGCTATCTATCACTGCCGGCTCATATCTATCTTTTTATCTATCTATCTTTATCTATTGCAGTTTGCTCATATCTATCTATCTAGCTAGCTAGCTAGCTGTCTGTCTGTCTATATCTATCTATCTGACCCAGTTTTTTCATTATCTATCTTTATATTTCAGTCTGTTAACACCTATCTATTTCTGTCTTTTCATCTATCTATCTATCTATCTATCTATCTTTATCTATCTATACATCTATCAACCTCAGTTTTTTTTCATTAAATATTTCCATCTGTTAACATCTATTGCCGTCTTTTCATCATCCATCTATCTATCTATCTATCTATCTATCTATCTATCTATCTATCTATCTATCAGCCTCAGTTTTTTCATTAAATATTTCCATCTGTTAACATCTATTCCCATCTTTTCATCTATCTATCTATCTATCTATCTATCTATCTATCTATCTATCTATCTCAGTCTGTTCATATCTATCTATCTATCTATCTATCTATCTATCTATCTATCTATCTATCTCAGTTTGTTCATATCTATCTATCTATCTATCTATCTATCTATCTATTTCAGTCTATTAACATCAGCCTATTTATCTTTGCAAAAATGGAAAGATTTTATAAATTTGAACTGACAGTCAATGATGGCCGAATGCTTTCTTATAAGGAAATGCCTTAATAATATCATTGCTATTGTGCAATTCCCATCTTGAATTGTCCCTTTTGACCACAACCATTTCTTTTTTTCTTACTTTTCATGCTTATCTCTGCATTTATGATATAACAATTCTATGCAGATCTACAGGAAAACATCATAACTTGTTTTATTCTCCATGTCCCATGTGAACAGCTTATTTCAAGAGACAAAAGAATGCTGTTGCAAGATACCTGGGAAACCCTTTTTTCAAAGCATAAATTATTTCTGAGGCAAAAATGTTTTGTTGGAAGAAGAAAAACATTGATTTCCTGTGTGAATGTAGCTTATCACAAAGTTTCTTTTCTTCTTCCCATCAATTTCCCTCTCAGCATGATCCCATTATTTGTTGTCAATCAGTTTTATTAGCATGATACCTTCTTGTAGGCAACACACATAACCTAAAACCATGAAATAACAGTTCAATTGTAGTTTTAAATTCTTTTACACCTCAATTTTACCTTCTACTAAATCATCCTATTGTCAGTTGTCTCCTTTTCGGCTTTATTTAGCTTTTCTCTGTCAGTACTACTACTACTACTACTACTACTACTACTACTACTTCTTCTTTTTCTTCCTCTTCTTCTTCTTCTTCTTCTTCTTGATCTTCCTCTTCTTCCTTTTTTCTTCCTCTTCTTCCTCCACTTCCTCTTCTTCTTCTTTTTCCTCCTCATCTTCCTCTTCTTCCTTTTTTTCTTCCTCTTCCTCTTCCTCCTCTTCTTCTACATCTTCTTCTTCTTCCTTTTCTTCTTCCTCTTCTTTTTGCACTTCCTCCTCTTCTTCCTCTTCCTCTTCTTTATCCACTTCTCTTTCCACTTCTTCTTCTTGATCTTCCTCTTCTTCCTTTTCTTCTTCCTATTCCTCTTCTTTCTCCACTTCTTCTTCTTCCTATTCTTCTTCTTTCTCCTCTTTTTGATCTTCTTCATCTTCCTTTTCTACTTCCTCTTCTTTTTCCTCTTCTCCTTCTTGATTTTCCTCTTCTTCATTTTCATCTCCTTCCTTTTCATCTTCTTCCTCTTTTTTCACACCCTCTTCTTCTTCCTCTTCTTCTTCCTTTTCTTCTTCTTCTTCTTCTTTTTCTTCTTCTTCCTCTTCTTGTTATTCTTTTTCTGCTTCTTCTTCTTCTCCCTATTCTTCCTCTTCTTCTAAAAAATTCAGTAATTATGTAATTCGTTGATAATTTGACACCTAATCTTATCCTTTATCTAATGCCTCTGCTCTTTGTTCATCCTTTTCTGTATCTTCTCATTCTCACCCTTATCCCTTTTAATACAATTAATATCATCCAATATTTCATGCAATTGCACTTCTCTCATCTTGACTGGGGTGTGGCCATCGAAATGCCCATGCAACTTCTTGGAGCTAATTTTAAGAGTTGGATGCAGGCTGTTGACCAGTTCCACATCTCAATTCATCTGAGTAAAGCAGTGTTGAGTATATATTTTATACTGGATGTCAGAGTAATCAGTTTGTCATCAAATGTAACAGTTATTATTATTATTATTATTTGGCTTCTAATTACTGTTATTTAAAGTAATTATATATATCCCTGAAAAAATCCTAAAGGTCATCATCTTCCATGAAGGAATGAAAGCTAATATCGTGTCTGATGGTATGATATCAGAATCCTTTGATGTCACAAATGGCACCAAACAAGGTTGTGTCATGGCTCCTGTCCTTTTTGCCCTTTTCTTCACGGTGATGCTCAAATATGTATTTGCAGACACAGAGAGTGGCGTCAAGTTTCAGATTCAAACAACTGGTGGTCTCTTCAATTGTCAGCGTTTCAAAGCCAAGACACACCTTCGTACGCAAATTATTCCTGATTTGTTGTTTGCTGATGATTGCAGTGACATCCTTTGAGGAGGCCCAACATCTAATAAATGGTTTCTCTGCTGCATGTAAAGCATTTGGTCTTACACTTAGCATAAAGAAAACTGAAGTTGTGCACCAACCTTGTCCTACTCCGAAGCAATTCTGTGGTGAGAAACTAAAACCACCAGTCTACAAATTTCCAGAGAGACCATTGAAAGTAGAAGACAAAGCCCTAAACTATGTAAAGTCTTTCACCTATCTTGGTAGCAAAGTCAACTACAGTGGAACTTTAGATGATGAAATCATGCATCGGATTGCTAAGGCTACCAGTGCTTTCGGCAAACTTCGCCATAACTTGTGGAATGAGCGAGGTATTCGACTGGATATGAAAATTCAATTTTACAAATTTGCTGTATTTGCCATCCTTTTGTATGGCTCAGAGTCGTGGATTCCATACAGGTACCATATATGCCAGCTGGATGTTTTCTATAAAAGCTGTCTGCATGCAATCTGTGGAGTTAACCTTCAAGATAGGACATCTAACGTCCTGTTTAACAGGTGTAATATTGGAGGAATCGAGACTTTTCTCATACAGTCTCAGTTACGGTGGACTGGTCATGTCTTGAGAATTTCCGATGACAGGATACTCAAGATTCTAATGTACAGACAGTTAGATCAGGGCTACAGGAATGTAGGACGCCCATGGCTAAGATACAAAGACAAGCTGAAAAGCAACTGGTCAGCAGTCAATTTACCACATAACACACTTTAACGCTTAGCTTTGGAGCAGGTAGAATGGATATCAATGTCTTTTAGTAGACTCAGCAATTTTCAATCTGCTTGTCTGAATCATCTTCAAGAATTGAGAGCAAGATCTAAAAGGTCAGCCAATCTAACAGTGATCTCATCTCACAATCCTCACTCTTGCTCCATATGTGGCCTCCTTTGTAAATCACTAGCAGGTCTTAAATGCCACTTAAGATTATTGCACAAAATTTCATTACTGAATCAACTAAGCTGTCAGATCCTCATATGTCGAAACTGACAGGAGAATCCATTATATATTGCCTACTGAACACTCCTTTGTGACCAAGTTGGTTAAGGCACATCATGACGGTTCCAATAGGATGCAGGTTCAAATCCTGTCAAAGGACGAATATTTTCTATGAAAATTTCTCGGACATTCAGGCCGGTAAATGTTATTTAATACTGTTTATTATAAACAGAGCATTTACTTAAATACTTCTATCTATAAAAAGAATGTTAAACATAAAAATGTCTTTAATAAATTGTCGGACTTTGTCCAATTCTTAATATGTATATATATATATATATATATATATATATATATATATATATATATATATATATATATATATATATATATGAATAAAAAGATAAGAGGAAAAACTATTCTTAGCCGATGAGTTTTGTCCTCTGAGGGACTTTATCAAGGCAAATATAAAGATTTATTTTGTTGCATGTGTTTGTATACAAGAGCAAGGATGTCCCTGGTTTATCAAGGCTTTTAAATTTGAGAATGTCCTTGAATATTCATCAGGTGGTTAAAAGTTCAGTCAAGATATATGGAAGCCACAAAGGGCCATAATTCAAAATCTGACTAGACAAAAGTAAACAAGTTATATTATTAGAAATTGATAATTTTTTTACTCTACTCAGCACCTGAAGATTGTGTTGTGTATGAAACTCTGAGTTGTGCGAAAGGCGAGGAAAAAAATGTATATTTAGTAATATATACTCTAAGTACAGTTATATTACATCAAGCACTGTTTTATTAACACCTGCACTCAAACTGCAACATATATATATATATATATATATATATATATATATATATATATATACGACATTTCCCCCCTTCCATAATAACACCAATGCACATAATCTACATAAACCCAAAATTTTAAAAAATTAATCAGTTTGTCTGACGATCACAAAAGTGTGAAACCCAGGGTCACAAACTCACATCTATCAACCAAATATATTTATATATATATATATATATATATATATATATATATATATATATATATATATATTATTACAGTAAAACCAAAATTACCTCAAAATTATTTTTACCATAAAAATGTATATGCTCTATAATAAGAAAGTATTAAATTTCTGATTCAATTCAGAGCTGATTAGTGGCTGTCAGACAAGCAGAAGGGTCCCAGCATTCAGAAGGAAGATGTCAACTAGTTTTTGAGCTGAACTTACATGAAAATAAGAAGAATAAAAAGAAG